GAAGTGCGGTGGTCTTGTTCTTTAAGAAAGGCGACAACGCTCTCTTGAAGAACTACAGACCGATTTCCCTTCTGAGCCGCGTCTACGTGCTGTTTTCGAGAGTCATTACGAATCGTCTCGCACGCAGACTCGACGACTTCCAGCCTCCCGAACAAGCCGGTTTCCGAAAAGGCTTCAGTACCATAGACCACATACATACCCTGCGGCAGATTGTACAGAAGACTGAAGAGTACAATTTGCCACTTTGCCTGGCGTATGTGGACTATGAGAAAGCCTTTGATTCCGTCGAAATTTGGGCGGTGCTGCAGTCCCTTCAGCGGTGCCAAGTTGACTGTCGGTATATCGAAGTGCTGAAGTGTTTGTACAGTAGGGCTACGATGGCTATCCGAGTACAGAACCAGAGCTCGAAACCTATCCAATTGCAGAGAGGTGTAAGACAGGGTGACGTTATATCCCCGAAACTCTTCACCGCTGCTTTGGAAGACGTTTTCAAGCTACTGGACTGGAAAGGATACGGTATTAACATCAATGGCGAGTACATCACTCACCTTCGATTTGCCGACGATATAGTCCTTATGGCAGAATCGCTGGAGGACTTAAGCACTATGCTCAATGACCTCAATGGTGCCTCCCAACGGATAGGTCTTAAGATGAACATGGACAAAACAAAGATTATGTTTAATGTCCATGTCACACCTATGCCGGTAGTTGTTGGAAGCACTATGCTCGAAGTTGTTGACGAGTACGTTTACCTGGGACAAATATTCCGACTAGGTAAGTCCAACTTCGACCGAGAGGTCAATCGACGGATTCAACTCGGCTGGGCAGCGTTCGGGAAATTACGACATATCTTCTCGTCAGGTATACCTCAATCTCTGAAAACTAAAGTGTACAACCAGTGCGTGTTGCCAGTGATGACTTACGGATCAGAGACGTGGTCCTTCACTGCTGGCCGTATGAGGACGCTCAAGGTCGCTCAGCGAGCTATGGAGAGGGCTATGCTCGGAGTTTCTCTGCGTGATAGACTCAGAAATGAGGATATCCGCAGTAAAACCAGATTGACCGACATAGCCCAACGGATTAGTAAGCTGAAGTGGCAATGGGCCGGCCATATAGCTCGAAGAACCGATAACCGATGGGGAAGAAAGGTTCTCGAGTGGCAGCCTCGTACCGGTAGGCGTAGTGTAGGGCGACCCCCCACTAGATGGAGTGACGACCTGGTAAGATATGCAGGAAGTCGATGGATGCAGGTGGCTCAGGACCGTGCTTTGTGGCATTACTTGGGGGAGGCCTATGTTCAGCAGTGGACTTGTGAAGGGCTGTGATGATGATGATGATGATGATGAACATAGGTTAAGCTAATTTACTAACATAATTATGGACTGTACGTGAATCTGAAATAAATTATTATGGGGTGTATCTATATAGTTTTCTCATCTAGTTGGGTTCTATAAATATATAATTATAAATTAAAATGAAAAGATAAATATACATCCATAAAATAAAATAAATACAAAAAATACATAAATAAATAAAGGTTGAACCTGACGGAAGCTTTCAGCAGGAGAGACCAAGCGGCCGCGAGTTAGGGAGAAAGGGAAAGGAATCGGCGGACGATGCGGGCAGTATCGAGGATCATCGCCTTCTGCATTTGAGCCCGGGGCTGTCCGTTACGGAGTCCCAGTCGCCTCAGATGACCCGAGAGGCTGACAGGGATTAGCCCATTCGCAGAGACGACTACAGGAATAATTTCGGCAGGCAGACCACCCCACATGTCGGTCACCTCGTGAGCCAGGTCCAGATATTTTGTTCGCTTATCTATTTCGGCTTTCACGAGGTTCTCGTCATATTATTATTATATTATTATTAAATGGGCCATAAATCGTAAACGGTAAGTCTTACAAAAAAGTTTACTAGAAACAAAAGATGCAAAATTTTATTCTCTACAATAATGGTCTGTATAACTTTTGCCTCAAAGTGCATAGTTACCGAGATATCCGCTGAAAATGTTTTTTAAGATGGCGCTTGAAGCGCCACCTGGATCTGTCAGCATTTTGTGATTTCATTCTCCGTAAGTGATCCTAAACCTTATGAAAAAAATTGGATCGAAAATTTAGTGCAAAGTTGACCAAAAATTTCTATTTTTACTGTACTACACCCTCCCGCCGCAGTTCATCCCTGGCGTGGCCTTATCAGACAGCCCCTTCAACTCGTGCCAGTCATATGTATTTCTTTTAGTTTACTGTGAGTTTACCTTCGGCCCTTGATGCGTCTCTTAACAATCAAAAATTGTTTTAAAAAAAGAACGAGGCCTTTCTTCACATGACTGCAGAATGAAGATATTACATGACTATTTGCAAGTCAACCGTCGTTATCTATCTATTGTGAGCTATCGCGAAATAGTTCGATTAACGAAAATATTACTTATAATTAATTTTAATCTACGCAATAATATATTAAAGCGAGCGATCACGATAAAATACCTGCAAAATAAAATAGAGTACATAATATACAGAATTATTTTGCGATAAACGGCAAGTAGAGAAGGTTCATAATAAGTAATTTAGATAATTAACAGAATCAGGCGTTACTTTACGGAAATCCATTATTTTAAAGTTATTAAGAATTAATTCGCACACATCCTCTAAATAAGGGTTGAGCGGATGTGTGACATTCATAACTTTAATAAGTAATATAGGCCATTGGTGAAGAAAAATCTATTTAAACAAATCTCAAACATTTTGTCCTTTTTATCTTTTATATTCAAAATGCGTGGTAATGGATTATTTTAACTGATTTAATGCGCACGCACACATTCGTGTCGATCAGTAGGCAAATACGTCGTTGCCCATAAAACGCATTCAATTTGGGATCATTTCTTGCGCCCTCCTTTCTGCCAAGGAGGGTCGCGTTCGTATACGGCTTAGAGATCTCTAGTTAGATCGTTAAGCCAGTTCCTAAAAGGTTGGGTTTATTGGGTAAAAGTCACCACATAACCATGCAGCCGACTGCGTGGTATGCTATGAGCATTCCCAACCTCCCTCCCCCGCTTTCCGGAGGGTTGCCCATATTTGCTTCGGCCGCAAAAAAAAGGATCATTTCAAATAAAAGTAGAAGCCTTATTTGCACGTATTTTCAAAAACAACAATAACGGTATGTAATTATTTACATTTAAGAAGCTTTATAAATTTAAAATTTGTTTCCTCTTTGAAAATTCCCTTTAACCCTGTATAATATTTAGCTTTTTAATAATATATTGCAGTGGTGGACTGTGAGCTCGTTTGTACCCTTTTTATTAAAAAAAATGGACGTTCCTAACATATGTCGTATTATCAACGGTTGTGTAAATTTCCTAGTTGTATTGGGATTAGGAGTGGTCGGGTTGGGATTAGTGGTGACGGGGATAGTGCACGCAATTATTGCCATATCTATTATAGAACGTGGGGGGTGCCCCTCTAACTAGGTAAGGCAATCATTTTATTATTTACGCAGATGTTAGCAAACTAATTAATTTAAACATCTTTAATAAAATAGATTTCCGTAAAGTAACACCAGATTCTATCAATTACCTTTTACGGCATCCACGGAACGATGAGAATGATGGGGGAATTTTATAAAATTAAAATAAGTATTGTTTATTTATTTTTTGTTTTTTCATCCGATTACAATGAAAAGTTGGAGAAATTTCTGACGATTAAATTAATATTTGTCTGTTGATAGTAATATAATCTCAAATACAAGCGGGGCTATAAATGCATACCCTATCCCATGTGAATCCCGGATGAGACTCATGTTCGGCTCGGTAAACTCTTAATAATCGCTTCCAAGACTATCTCCGACTTTATAGCTTAAAATCGGGAGAACGTCACCACCGTTATCAATATTATTAACGTGTTTTTACGATAAATACTACATTTCAGAACAAATATACAAGATCGCTCCAATCAATCGATAGTCTAATAATAGTTTATTGACATTGAAACCGTACGTGCAAGTTATCGTTACGCAAAGTACATATCGTAAATGATATCGTACAATGGATGGGAACACTTGCATGATGCATGCGCCATGTCCTTTCACGTTCCACTTTACATAATTAATCTCTTCTAAGTTCACAGTGTGTTACAAGTTTGCAATTAAAATATAAACTCCTTACATATAAATTTATTAGGTAGCGACCTTTGAGTATTCAACCAACTGGAGAGGCCATAAGCGTTAATTCCTCAACAAAAAGTCTGTCACTTTCCGGGGGCGGCGAGGAAAACACACTACTGTATACTTCACTACAAATGCATACTACATACACGCATACTACAGCATCTGTATTTGTGTTCATTGCATTTACGCATACCATCAAATTGTACACGTGTTGATACACTGGTTCCGCTGTCTATGATCAATAAACATAATATTTTGCAGAATGTACATGAACATGTAGTTCTTTGTTATCGAACTAACACAAATTCTTGCTTGCTTTTTCATTCTTACACCTACAGTCATAACTCATGAATGATGATTTTCTAACGTCTGTCTTTCCAATCGATTAAAATCTGGATCTCATCAAAGCAAGAGTAAGCAAGCAGATCAAGATTTTTGTTAAGCCCAACCAGAGCACTATACCACATTCACATACACATTACTTACTATCAGTTAAGATAATAGTCGAGGACTTGATTATAATAGGTTTAACAATTATAACAACAAATCTACTTTAATCTCTCTCTCTCTCTCTCTAATTTGATTAAAGTATATTTGTTGTTATTTTAATTATATTGCTCATCACGTTATCCCTATATACAAATAAGCTCATATTTCCTCACTAAGCATCAATAATATTTCGTTTCCAGATAAAGGAATCCAGGTATGAAGACGCCATAAAAACTCTAAACGACGCCATCAATTACAATCCCAATCGGGCTGGACTTTCCTTGCTCGGTTATTGCTATTACAGAATCCAATCCTTCGTGGAGGCAGCAAATTGCTATGAGCAACTCTCAGCCATGCATCCAGATATACCTGAGTACAAATTTTACTTCGCACAGTCTTTATACGAAGCCTCTATGTACGATGAGGCGTATAAAGTAACCATGCAGATTACGGCTCCGGAACTTGAGAGGAAGGTTATTAAACTTCAGTCAGCTATAAAATATGGCGAAGAAGACGCTATAACAGCCAGAGGCCTCGTAGACTCCTACCCTCAAGATGATCCCGACAAAGATATAAATCTTGGTTGTCTATTATATAAAGAAAACCAGTTCGAAGAAGCATTAAGAAAATTTACAAGGAGTCTAAATATATTGGGATTTAACGCGCATTTACATTACAATGTAGCATTATGCTATTTTAAATTGAAAGAGTATCCGCATGCGTTGAAACATATTACGCTAGTAATAGAAAGAGGAATACGGGATCATCCAGAATTAGCTGTAGGTATGCAAACTGAAACTTCTGAAGTAAAATCGGTAGGGAATACACTGACACTTCATGAAACAGCCCTCACCGAGGTATTTAACCTTAAAGCAGCAATAGAATATCAGTTAAGGAACGTTGAAGCATCTAGGGAAGCCCTCTCTGATATGCCTCCAAGACACGAACACGAATTAGACGCTGTCACATTGCACAATTTAGCCTTAACATCCATAGATATAAAACCTACGGATGGTTTTGAAAAACTACACTTTCTACTCCAACAGGATCCCTTTCCGGCAGAAACATTTGCCAACTTGTTGCTATTATATTGCAAATTTGAGTATTATGATTTAGCGGCTGACGTATTAGCTGAAAACGCCCAATTTACTTATAAATATTTAACACCATATCTATACGACTTCTTGGATGCAATTATCACAAGTCAAACTTCACCTGAAGAGGCTTTTCAGAAATATGAAGATATCGCTTCAAAACACGCGGAGCAGTTGAGAAAACTCACCAAAGTAGTTCAAGAGAGTCGATCTCAAGGTGATAATGACCAAGTTAAGAAAGCCGTAGTGGAATACGAGGAAGCGTTGGAAAGATATATACCCGTTGTCATGGCGCAGGCAAAAATATATTGGGATAGGGAGAACTATGGGCAAGTCGAAAAAATCTTCCGTAAATCTGTGGAATTTTGCAATGAATCCGATGTATGGCGTTTAAACGTCGCTCATGTGCTTTTTATGCAAGAGAACAAATACAAAGAAGCGGCCAGTTTCTATGAACTTATAGTTAAGAAGCAATACGAAAATATTCTAAATGTAAGCGCAGTTGTTTTGGCTAATCTATGCGTGTCATATATAATGACATCACAAAACGAAGAAGCTGAAGACATAATGCGCAAAATAGAAAAAGAAGAAGAACAACAGATATTCGAAGATCCACAGAAAAAGTTCTATCATCTGTGTATTGTGAATTTAGTTATAGGCACCCTATATTGCGCTAAGGGGAATTACGAGTTTGGCATTTCAAGAGTCATTAAATCACTTGAACCTTTCAATAAACGTCTCGGAACCGATACTTGGTTCTACACGAAACGATGCTTTTTATCTTTTCTTGAGAACTTAGCAAAGCACTTAATAGTAGTTAAAGATAATACGATTAAGGATTGTCTGCATTTCTTAGAGGGATGTGAAACGTACGGACGTCGTGTAAGCACTGTGATCGAAAATCCATTTCAAGAAGAAGACGCTAATATTAAAGCCAAAAACACCGTCACTTATGAGGCCCGACTGCTACGATACATGTTCTATAAGCTCAGAAACATTGATGACTCTGTAACTATTAATAAATACGAAGATCTGAAGTAAAACTTACTAACCTGGAGGAATTTGTTTTTTATTTGATCCTGGCTTCCTAGCATCTTTATGCTTCATCACAAATGGTCTCTCTTGACCTATTGATACGGAGGCTATAGGGTAGTTAGGATCTAATTCCGGTTCGTTGTCTTGGTGTTCACCCATATGATCATTACCATTTTTATATCTGTGACGAAACAAGATTATAATAACATTAACTATAAAAGGTTAATACATAGATAAAATTCTGTAACGAAATAAATAATCTCACTTGTTTACTAGTACGAAGTCGTAAAGTATTCCTTTGATTCTGAAGAGCAAATTCCTTATCTCGATTACAGGTGCAGGCCAAGGCAAAGCTGGTACAGTGATACCCGAATAAGTGTAAGTTATGCCTGGATTGCCGTATGCAACTTGTTGCCTAGGCAAAGGGTAAACTTTACCGAATACTCTAAAACATAAATTTTTAATGAATTACCCAGGGGCTTACCCAAAATACGTCTTTTAACAAAATCTCAAATTAATTTATTTAGCTCTTATTTTTGAATATAGTAGCTCAGGGGCTAGGTAGGTACTGTAATTTTCACAATACGCGAGCAACCCGGGTTAGATTTCCGCCGGCACCAATGAAATTGTTACATACAATTTTAAGTGCAGATTTACTACGTGCTCGACGATGAAAGAAAACATCTTAAGGAAATCTGCATGTCTGAGAATTAAGAAAAAAATTATTTCGAAAACGTGAAGTTCGTCAACACGCATTGGGGCAGCGCGGTGGAAACTTCCTTGCCCTTAAACCCTCTCAGAAACAAAAGGAGGCCTGTGCCCTGCTGTGGGACGTATATTGGCCGTAACTTTAACTTTTATCTTTGAGTCAAATTCATATAAGTTGCAAAATATATATGAAAGTATGGCAGCAAATTATCTGAACGTTTTATAGCATTTCAGTAAACTGTAAATTAGAAAGTAAGCCCTACAGCAGCTGGGTCTTCTCCAATTTCTGAGAGAATTCTTGGTTTTGGTTATAAATGGTTGATTTACATAGTAAGTACTTTCCTTGAATTGTACTAAAATTACAGAATTAATATATACCCCATGGTTATACTCCAGTAATTTAAGAGTAAATAAATATATAAAACATCCCGATACAGCAGGACTGCAAAGTACGCAACGAACAACATTAACATTTGTGTCAAAGTAGTAATCTACATCTGGATTATACCAACTTTTTTTATAGAATCTTGTGAAAAACGAGCACACAGCGCCTGATGGTAAGCACATGCTATGGTCCATAGACATCTACATTTATACGTACCTTTATTATAATACAAAACTATCTATTGTATTTTTTTTGTTTCTAACGTTATAATGTGTGAGAGATAAGAAGAGAATAATAAATCGCTAGTCGCTGTCGTAACTTAAATCAGTAGAGGTCAGCGGCTTGTACAGCATTTATATTTGCTGATATTGTCCGTTTCATCCATGAGGTTTTTTTTATAGAATAAGGGTTGACAAACGAGCACACAGTCTACCTGATAGTAAGTGGATGATGTGACTCATAGACATTTACATTTATCCTCGTTTAAGGATCAAAATATAGATGTGTTGTCACCCTTAAGGACCGATATGGAATGCCTCGTTTCCAGTAAAATAGGGTCTCCGGATCTCTACACTCCCCATACGAAATCGTGAGTTTTGTCGCGATGTGCGATGGTGAAATTGTGCGGCTGGAATTAGTCCGAGTAATTCCTCAGAGCACTCCCCGTGGTAAATGCGATAAAATACGCAAATTGATGCAACATCTCTACGCAGTGATTCAAACCGATCGGAAAGAGCTCGGTCGCCGACGAATCGAACGGCTCTACGCTGGATGTGATCAAACAGAAAGAGTGGCACTGGGGAGTTTCAGCCCAGAGATAGGAACAGTATTCCATGTGCGGCCGCACCTGCATCTTATAAGGTTGCAGGCGGCGTGCCGGCATGAAATACTGTCCCGCTCTGCTGAGCATGCCAAACTTTTTAGAGGCCAATTTGGCCTTCTCTTCCAAGTGACCACGAAACTGCACGTCACTTGATATGTCCACGCCGATGATTCCGATACTGGCTAAGTCAACAAAAGGAATGCCTTCAAAGAGAAAAGATACGACAAAGGGTTTCTTTTTAGCGGTAAACGCGCAAACTTGTGTCCTTTGGGATTGAATTAGACTACATTTAATCGCCCCAGGTCCGAGACTTTGTTCAAAAAAGTCTCGACTACAAACACAAGTTTGCTCTTGTACTCGGCAACGTTTTCCCGAGAAATATTGGCACGGCCGGTGTATAAAGCATCACCTGTGCTGACATCCGCTTAGCAATGAATGCTATCGGTTTGCAACGTATCATTGATATGCAGAAGAAACATCGTTAGTGATATCACGCAGCCTTGTGGAACACCAACGTTAATGGGCTTGTAATCGGAACATGCACCGTCTACTACGACCTTGATGCTCCGATCCGCAAGAAAACTGATGATCCAATTGCACAATTTCTCGGAAAGCCCATAGGAAGGAAGCTTCGTAAGAAGCACTTTGTGCCAATCCCGATCGAGGCCTTAGCTATGTCCTAACTAACGGCCAACGCCTACCCTTTAGACTCAACTGCCTCAGCCCATCTATGAGTTAGGTAACCCAGAAGATCACTAGCTGAGCGACCCCGACGGAAACCGTACTGGTGGTCACTACTCAGTTGGCGATCCTCAAGGTACTTTATGAATTAGGAGTTAATAATTGTTTCCATTATTTTGGAGAACAAGGAGGTGATAGGCGATAGGCCTGTAGTTAAACGGATCTGATCGGTTGCCTTTTCTAAAGATCGGGTGCACTAAAGCTGTCTTCCATGAGTTCGGGATTACGTCTATGAAGTAGGAGTACCGAAAAAGACGTGTTAAAACAAGTGCCAACTCCGGAGCACACGTCTTCAGCACAATAAGTGGGACGCCATCAGGTCCACTCGACTTGCTGACATCGAAAGAGAGGAGTTCTCTGCGCACCGAGCACTAGGTAAGCAGGACATTTTGCATGGAGCACTCACACCGCGGAATGGTCGGCGGTGTGTCGGTGTGACGGAGGGACGTCATCAAGAGTCGAGTTGGACGCAAAGAGAGACCAGCTTTCTAGACTAGGCTTTGTCCTTTGCAGCATGGGCCAGTGAGTCGTCTTCCCTGTGCAGAGATGGACAAGGTGGTTGACACAAGTTCCCTTGAACAACCTTAGCGAGAGACCACAATGCACGCGTTCCCTAAGGAAGCCAACTAGTTTCTCGCCAATTATGCGGATGTGCTCGATTTAGCCTCGGCAATGACACTTTTGAAGGACTTAGAGGCGGAATCATACTTATTTTTAGGAGCGCTGGTATTTGCATCTTAAAACGTCGATGCGCCAGCCCAGGTCCGGTAGCACTCCTGCTTATGGCGTAACGCATTTTTGCAGGAGCCACAGGCCATGGAATAAAAGGTTCTTTTCCCTGAAGCACCACATCATCGACAGAATCAGCAACAACGCTGGTATTATTCGGCGAGAAGCCCACCCCTAAGGGTAGGATGCAAAAAAAGAACGCATCCCGTCCCAATCGGCTGACCAATAATGCCAAACATGCCAGCAACCTGCAGAACACAATCGCGATGGGAGCGTGAGAAGCACCGTACTCCGGATCAGATAATGTTCCGAGGAGCCAAGAGGGACCTGATATCCTTACGGATGAGAGGTCAGCAGAAGGTCTAACAGGGAAGGTACATGATCTTCCACATCTGGGATCCGCGTAGGTGAAGTAACCAGTTTTGTCAGATCATATGCCAAGGCAAAGTCATAAAAAGATCTACCCGCATGATCGGTTAAACGTAAACCAAGCCATTCAGCGTGGTGGACGTTAAAATCGCCAAGCATCACAATCTCTGCGTATAGGACCTGCAGTTGTAGCACGGAGTCTGCAGCCATTTCTACGTGGTCGATAGGTCGGTCTGTGTCGGCATTACCACTATGAGATCTATAGAGGCTCAGGTAGACGCGGGAATGGTCGTCGCTGTCTACGCGCAGCCATAAGATGGACCCCCGTACGTTCAAGAATAAGAGAAAAGGAAGAATGGCCCCGTACATTCAAGACTGCTGAGGCGTCGAAAACAGATGTCCTCTGACGTACACGCAAACTCCAGCCCGGGGCACAATGGAGTGTCCTAATTTGTACTCCGGGCAGGAGAGATGGGAAGTATTAACCGAGAGGACACCTGTGTCTTGGTTAAAAAGAGCAAGGCCGGTTTCGCCGTTTCCAGATGGTAGTGGACGGCGTTAAGGTTTGAATGAAGTCTCCTGATGTTGCAGAAATTCACAGCTAGCGTGGCAGTGGGCGCCTATTACTTATTGCTCCGTTTGCCCCGAGCTGGCTTAGTCTCGAGCGGAATTTCACCCTCACCCCCAGAATACGCGGAACAGCCTGAGTACCCACGCTCAGGAAGATAGCTTGGGCGTGGATGCTCAGCGAGGGATTCTCCGTCACCAGGGGTGATGGTGCCTTCCTGGAGTAGAATTCTATTTAACTCTGCTATCACGTTAACTGCGGGGGGGGGGGTAATTAGAACTTTGAATAGGCTTCATAAAGATAAACCAGATTTATAAAATACTAGTCTACAAAACGCTGGTAGTTACGCAGACGCAAGGTCGCGCTGTTGGAATTCGGTATATGCCAACCGTCAACAGCATTTATTTTGACATTTTACTACTGAAAGGTTAACTACTAGGTAAAACATTCACCTAAGAAAGCTGCAGATTATAGATTGATGATATTGATTCAATAATGATTACTGTATATCTATACACATACATACATATACAGATATCTACACACATCTCGTTCATCTCGTTCAATTTTTTACTTACTTAATTTTCGATAAATCTCCAGTGAAATATTCTAAAGTATCTTCCAGTTCATTGTATAGACTGTTGGCGATTAATGTAGGTATTACTTTTGCATATTCAAGATCCAGCCCATCCTCTTGTATACATTTCCATGGAATTATAGTTGTATCGATTTCTTTCAGATTCGTGGACATTTATTTAAGCACTTAGCTAAAATATTATTAATTACAGATTAATATTTACAAATCTGCAATATTTTAATGCGCCTTATTCACAGTCCATCTTGTAGTCCGTCCCGCCAAGACCATGTACGACGCACGACGCAAACTAATGTCCACCATTTTAAGAAGACAATCCTTTCCACTAAACCGCGCATGTAAATTGTTTGAAGCGCACAAACTTGAACGCATGATGACTGAGGTTTTAGTGGATTCGCAAGCGGGCGGCGCGCGCTTGCATTCTCGTTCTCCTTTTCTTTCTTTACATGCACGATCTTTAACGCACGAAAGCCGATTCACGCGTTAAAGAGTGTATGTGTAAAGGCAGCTAATGAATAAGGCGCTTAAGGCTAAGGCTTTAGATGTGTACTGTAAAGAACTGAACACAATAATGGAGAAGCTCGCTCGTGCCCGCTGCTCCTGTACGATACGAGGGTTACACTGAAAGTTCATAGAAATACACCATATTTTACACTCTTGAACGACTTAGTGTAGTGGCTACTTCATAATAATTAAGGAAGGTTAAAAATATTTTAACCTGAGATGACAGAAGGCATTCACTTATTGGTAATGTGAATAGTACTGTTGTGGTGTTGTATGGAAATCAACCACTCCCGTTTCGTACCGTGGGTGTCGTAAGATCAGGCATTGTGAAATGCCAGAACGTTCTTTTATGATGGCGGAAGTTATCTCGTTTACCAGACGTAAAATACCCAGACCGGTGTTGGACAGCATCAGGTGCAAGACGTCTGGTATGAGGGTGACACTCAAAGTTCTTAGAAAATCAAAACTGAACAAACTAGCAAGTTATTATATTTATTATATCTTTTCAAAATAGCGTCCATTTACATAAATGAACCACTGAGAAAAGCACTTTGCCCACTCGTCCTTAAGGGTCTCTTCGACGGCATTTTGAAATGCAGCCACTGCTTCCTCAGAGTCCATACACCAGCGACATTGATTGGCGGTGTGCGACGAGGCGTTGTTGTAGTGAGAGAGGATCCTACTGTGAGGTAGTTTTTCCCGGACTTTTTCCACGACAAGGGGCACACAATTATTAGTGTACCACTATGCATTAACTGTTTTTCGATCCTCTAAAACAATTGCTGCGTAACCTGTCCTTCCAAAGAACGAGGCCACCATTTTTTCTCACACACACTTTTAACCATTTCACGACATTAATCAACAAAATTATGAGCATCCATAGGGCACAAAGCTTCATGACCGCTATATGTTCATGAAGAATTTTGTGCACTTGACTCATACCGATGCCTAAGCTTGTCCGAATCTGCTGTTAAATCACTCTTTTGTCAGTCTCTATCATACGCCGCACAACACTGATGTTATGTTCAGAAGTCGTCGTAGAAGGCCGTCTCTAACGCAGATCATCGGTGAGATTAGTACGACAACGTTTGAACTTATTAAACCAGTTGTAAATAGTGGCTTGATATGGGGCTTCATCGTGAAAGGCCAATCGAAGTCCATCATAACTTTTTATGATATCGAAAGTCATAAAAAATCATTTTATGAAAATTTTCTCGCGTTAAATTCATGCTGACGTGACACAGACAATTTTCAATTTGTCGCCAAATCGTAAACAAAAGACAAATTAATAAAATACATACACAGTAATATTGGCAAAAAATTCTATTTTCAAACTTTGAACTTATTTTTCTATCATATCGTTTACAAGTGGTCAGTTCTTTCGCCCTCGTAACGCGCGATCTCATACTGCATAACAGACGGTCTCCAAGTTATAGATCTGGGGTTGGAAGCTCTTCGTTATCTACTGTACTCAACAGACCTTGCGCCTACACACTTCTGCGTTTCCAGAATTTAGATAACTTTTTGGCGGGAAAGCATTCAATACTCGAGACGAATAAAATGCCTTTGAAGAATTTATTGCCTCCCGTCCAGCTAACTCATCTATAAGGGCATCAATAAACTGTCACTGCGTTGGCAAAGATGCATTGTTTACATGGGTGATGACTTTGGTTAGTTGAAATAAAAATTATAGAAAAATATGATGTTAACTTATTTCATAAAAACGGCAATTTTATAGGTAAAGATCTAATACAATTATTTCAGCATCCCAAGTTCCCAAGGCGCCTAACTGTACTTCTTTCATCGCAGCACATGTTTCATCGTTTCCAAAAATATTCCACTTCTTATTCTACTTCAAATCATTAAAGAAAATATTAAACGGCAGGTAATATGGTATATAATTAGGAATCCTTTTTTCATTCCATGAGACACCGCAGTTGATGAGCAATTAGCAAAACAAATATCGCTGTCGATAAAATTGTTATTATAATTATTAGATTTTGGTTAATCCGGTTCATCTATTACTCATTACTATCATGAACATAAATTAACAGTACGAAGTTGAATAATACGGAATTGCGCTTGTACGTTACACCTAAAATGCTGCTGCTGATGATATAAACAAAATATGCTGCTTGATAGAAAAGGGAAAATATATTTAAAAACTGCTAATAGCTAAGATGAGTACACGAACGCGCTGTGTGGCGATGCTATGTGAACTGATTCGATTTCGATGAATAATAAAAATAAGTGTATGAGGCGAAAATGCTGGTCGGGCGATATGTGCGGTTGTACCGTACATGCTCCCGGGCGAGAAGATGGGCGAAATGGCTATGAGATGAGCTAAACTAAAACATAGATGAGACCGACATAACACTTATCGGCTAATTTATAAGATGATTGCACGACATTATCTAACGAATTTTTCTAAAATTACATTTAAGTAAAATTGGGGAAGTGTTTTTATGCACTGATTGATTAGGCACAGTTTGATTATCTTGATTGGACACACTTGCACAATGATCACTTTGTTCTGTTTTATACTTTCACACTTCACATCTTTTAAACACACACACTGTACTGTTCTCACGCTGACTGCTAGCTGGAGCTGGGCGGGCGGGGCGTCTCCACCTCGCGCGCACCCACGCAACGCACGCTGCTGCTAGCCCTGCCACTACCAGAGAATAGATAGCGGCGTAGTGATGGACATCATAATAGTCGAGGCTGTTCGTCTCGCTGGCTATGCCGTCCGAAGGTGACTTTAACTCTTTAATCTGCTGGTCAATATTTTCTACAGCTTGCCCGAAATTCTCCGTTATGTTGATCATATTGATGGGTATCGATATGTTGAATATGTTATTGACAGGCGCGATCTCTGGTGCAAAGATCACCGGCTCGATATTAATCACATTTCTCATTTGTTTATGAGGCGTAATTACTAACGTATTTCCCCGAATGACGCAGTCTGTACCGAGAATTATAATGGGTATGTTCCGAAATACAACACAGTACACTGTCGAATGCGAATGACGTCATTAGTTGACGTCGTATTCCACCATATTCGATACAACGAATCACCAATATGGCGTCGATTTATGACGTCATTCGCATTCGACAGTGTACTGTGTTGTATTTCGGAACATACCCAATGTTTACTCCCGTCACCTGTTCTACGGTAACTCGATCTTGACATATGAATCGGAAGGTACATCGACCGCAACAATTAAATATATACGTGTTTAGCTTTGTAAGCTTTCGCCATGTAGTCTGACACGCGCTGCTGATAATTTTACAAGTGTTTGATTGTTTGTTTTTAATACAAAGGCTCTCGTCCGTCTTCGCTACTAATATTGTTACAGATGTTGTGTCTTTATGAACAATACGGGCGTAAACAACGCAAGCGAAAGCTTTGGTGAAAGAGTCGCAGAAACCATGAAGCTGAACTTTACTTCCCTTCCAGTACCAATCCATAGGGGAATTTCGATATCACTGATGTTTTCGATGTCTGCTCTTAATGTTAACCACTTTGAGTATACGTCATCAGGTATGACATCATCCCAATTTAGATTTTCTTGCCAAACGCTTTGAAATAATAGTTTAAGCTGGACCACGGATGGTGAAAGGAAACCACAATGATCGAAGACTTTAGAGATTTCGGCTAATAAAACTCTTTTTGTTGGTTTGGTTGTAGTTGGTGCTGTCATTTTGCATTGGAAGGTGAACATAATGATTTCTTATATTTACGCAAACACTATACATTGATTAAAACTACTTTTACGGATTTTATCGCGTTTTATTTATTTTTAATACCCGACGTTTGGGGTGCTTTCCAGCACCCACGGTCACGGGGGACTGAGGTGACTGAGGCGTCCCGATGTCAAAGTTAACCCGGAGTACCTTCAGCTTTTTAATTATTGTTTTTGGTCCGATCTACGCAGAATGAACTAACTGTGTTTTGAAGTCTTGCAGTGGTATGCTTCGGTTTAGTTTTATTTTATTAATTATAGGATCCCAAGCAGGTGGTAGTACCCAGCCTCCTTCTCTATTGCAATTAGGATGTTTTTTAATTTCAATAGCCTCACGTATCATCCTTGGTAGGAATCGATGTTCTTTCGCGAGGATTTGTTGTCTATCAAATCTGATGTAATGGTTGGGGCCATCTAGGATATGATCGCAAACTGCAGACTGCTGCCGTGAAGCATCAACGGGTATTAAAAATAAATAAAACGCGATAAAATCCGTAAAAGTAGTTTTAATCATTGGAAGGTGAAGTTGTCATCCTTGGCAATCCATGTAGGTCTGAGTGCTTTGGTTGATTCCTGGTGCTTAAAGTCATAAGTGTTTGGGGAGCTTGGTGCGACATCAACATCTTCCAGTAGTTTTTTTTTTTTATAGAAGGGGGGGCAAACGAGCATGCGGCTCACCTGATGTTAAGTGATTACCGCCGCCCATGATCAACCGCAACACCAGGGGAATTGCAGGTGCGTTGCCGGCCCTTTAGAAAGGAGTAAGCTCTTTTCTTGAAGGTCCCCAGGTCGTATCGGTCCGGAAAAATCGCCGGTGGTAAACTATTCCACAGAAAGGTTGTACGCGGAAGAAAACTCCTTTTGAAACGTACAGTGGTGGATCACCAAGCATCCAGATGGTGTGGA